ATGGCGAATTAGTGTTATCTGTTTAATTTACAGATAAGCTTTTCTAAAATTGTTTGAGATATTTAATACAATTCACAATAGTGTGCCCTGTGGAGTAGAAGAATAAAGAAATTAATCCCAATAAGTAGGGATTCACTGAAGTGATAGAACATTAACTGCCCCCTTTGAATTTGTTTGTAGTATAATGGAGTGAGTAACAACATTGTATTGGGAAAGGAGTTCATGCAGAAAAAGGGGAACACTGAAATGGATTAGCCTTAGTTGTTGTTATAACTGACTTGCTACCAGAATTGTTGAAAAATGGAGAAGAATCAAGGAAGTTGTGAATGGTAGATTTAGAAAAAAGTAATTATGGTGGTTATCTGTAGATTTCAACTCAAATTTTTGAATAATGTTGGCTGAACTGGATAATCCTGTGTCCTTTATTATGGTCAAGGCTATAATAATGGGCCTTTAAAGGAACTTTTATTCTAGACCAGACCTTTCCAGCTGGGATTTGGGAATTTAGAGCTCACTGAAACCAGCAGAAGACAGAAAAAGAAATCCAGTCATGGAGCTTCTTGGCACCAGATCAGCTGAGGGAAATAAGAAGGAAAAAGGCCCACAAAGATTTTTGGCAGGGTTTCCAGTTATTCAGTTTTCTCATTCTCTCTTTTATGAAGTTTCCATCAGTGCCTGTACTCATATAGGATTCTAATTGTTTTCCAGTCACTATTTATACCATGCCACTAAACTGACAGACTGCAAAAAGTGGTGTTTAAAGCTGTCAGCAAATCATTCTGAGGCCCTAAAGTGAACATTTTCATGCCTGTATCCTGATAGATAGAGTGGCGGTGGGGGTGGTCACTCAGACATCTATTGTTTCATTTTTGGGTTTCTTGCATGTGAAGTTTGTGCCAATTACGTAGTTCTTTGTTGGGTGTTGATTGTGGACACTGTCCCCCATGGAGATGAGACACGATGCCTCAGCCATTTCACCTGGGGCTGCTGAAAAAACTCCATTCAAACAGGGTGTGCCAAGTGAGCTACCTATCCTCCCTGCTGCAGGCCGGTCCTCAGACTCCTTGGTGGCTGCATCTTCCACAGGGGAGGGAGATGTTCTGTAAAAATACCAGGGACTGAAAGATTTTGTTGCTCAGGTTAATAAATGTATATCTCTTGGTGAGACTGGAGAAAGGCCTGTGTGACCCCAGTTATCCTGACTTCTTCCCGAAATTTGTCCATCTACCTACTTCCTCCAGCAGGTTGGAAGCTCATGCCTTCAGCATCATGGCAAGTTTCTGCCCTTTAGCACGCAGCCTTTCAGGTCTGCCGCAGCCACAGGGAGGAGGGTGCAGGTAGATACCAGCTTACAAAGCCCAGTGTGCCTAATCGCAGAAATAAGTAGAGGATTGTTTCACTTGCACAGTGCCCCTTGAGTTCAGTTAAGTACATACCAAAGATACTTGTCTCATGATTAAGCTCTATTAACTCCCCCAGCTGGGATTTTAGAAACTTCCCTTGGAGGTTTTTCCATGCACACAACCCTCAAGCTATGTTGAGATGCAAGTTGAAAATTCCTTCAAGGCCACTTGGTGCCTGTTTCCTTACTTATTGCATAGCGTGATTGTGAGCCTCACAGCTCGCTCAATCCACAGTAATGAGGCACAACCAACCTGCTGCTGCCAGCCTGCTGCCACTGGCCCCCCCTTGCAGCCCTCCGCTTCTCTGAAGGGCAGGAGCTGCTAGAGGATTGTCTCAATGCGATGGCATGGACAGCGTGGTCATTTGCTCGAGTCTGTGAAAAGAAGGTCCCTCATCCTCCTGAAAACATGAAATATGAGAAGAAAAGTGGAGAAGATTTTGTGATTCAGAAACTTCTCTCTTTTTCTGTCTGTCTTTAGATATGCACAGTTTTAATCGGGGCTTGAAAATAAACCCTGACAAATGCAAATGTGCAGTCAGAGGTTCTTGTATGCAAAAGATTTTCTTCAGGCTGTTTGGAAGGGTTACAGTTAGTTAAGCTGCCTCTTTTGCCTTGGAATTCCAAATTCCTTGTCAAACTGTTATTTTTCAGCCAGTGACCCTTGTATCAGTGATATTGCATGTGTAGCAATAATAAGCAATGAATAAAGACAACTTCTCTCTATTTTTAGGAGGGGAAAAGTTGCCAAACCAGATAATTCAGACATCTCATGCATTTTTTCATGGAAACAATTAATAGCTTTTCCTCTGCAGAACACACAATAAATTCAGAACTTCTGCTTATAAATGACTCTGATTTGATGTGAATTCAAATCTCATGGATTTCCATCTCTGTCAAAAATAGATTTTTCTAATGATGGGTATAGGATTTAGACACCACAGGACAATGAAAGAAAGAAGAATAAAACTACTGCTCTGCAACAGAACAAGTAAAAGCGGAGCATAACCCTAATGGATCTTCCAGAGAATATTCTGTCTGAGCATATAATGACTTCGTCCTTATTTTAGAATTTATGTATCACCACTGGGTATAAGTATGCTTTATTTTCTGCATATTTGTTATTGAGTCCTCTTTTTCTACTTAATAATTTCACAAGCTCTTTAGCTCAAGAGTAAGCATGGTTTAAAGCAGAGAATAAAGGACATGTCAAGGATCAAGTAACAGCTTCCAGACCAGAGCAGGATGAAAGCAGTCCCCGCTGCCACTATTCACTCACGTAGGTTCTGTGTGACGTTGCCCTGATTGAATGTCCTCAGCCTTTTTGCTGTGTCTCCAGGCCTGGCTGAGGTGGCAGTGCAGAAAGGAAAACTGCTCGTGCAAAGCAATCTTTTTGTGGTGAGGGTTTATCACTGCTCCCCTAGACCCATTACCCTATGTTTTCAAACAGGCTGGGTTCTGTCCCAAAGAAGCCATCATTTAACTCTTGAACAGATGTACAGAAGGCTCTCCCCTTTAATTTTAGAGTGTGGCTGCCAAAACAGTGGGGATGTAACTCCGTAGAGCTCTATATATTCAAATTAAGAGCTCATTTGCACTAGAGAGACTAACTGCGTCTCACAGAGTCATCCTTTTTAGCTTCAAATTCAAACAAGCTACATATTATCAAGCTTCCTCAAGTTGGGTGTTCAGGCTCTGCCTTGTGCCCTTGAAGGGCTGGAGTGCTTTATTTTTTACTGAAAGATCAGGTTATGAAATCAAACCAAATCTGGGGTCTGGATAAGATGTGGATATCTGCCTATTTTGTCTCCACCACAGCCTAGCCCTGTACTGAATCCTTTTGGTTTATCTAGTCCCAGTATAAAACAGAACATGTCCTGAGTTGGTGTGCTGCAGAATTCGTAACAAACCTCCAGCCAGGAAGGACAGATCTGGTGGAAATCCTTCCATATTGTCTTTCACTATCTGTTTATAACACAGTGCTTCTCTTTCCATTTTATTTTTGAGAAATAGAATATTAAATCTTTTGGGGTTATTGTGCATGCTGCTATCAGGGAGCTGCCAGGGAAGGTTTTGTCATGTGCATTGCATAGCCTTTATGGTGATGGTTATGTCTTACCATAGTTGTTTATTTCAAGAGGAAAATATCTTTGGATTTTGGTACTATAAGCAAGTTTTTTTCAAAAGCCATTAATGAAAAGGACTCCTAAATGTCCCAAAAAGGAAATAGAAACAACAGTCATTTTCTTCTGCCATTTAAAGTGTTCCTAACACTGAAGCATATTTCTGTAAGGCCAGTGGAAGGAGGAAATGTAAATGTTGTACAAAAAGAGGATCAGACCCATAAACTGTCCATGTTTAAACTTGTTAAATCCTAGCCATCTGAAAGGTAGACAGAGCACTGGAAAACACTACCAGACCTGGCCCTAATCCACCAAGCTAATTAGCACTAAAGCGTTATGCCTAATGACTTCAGTGCCTCTTAAGCAAACCAGACTATGGAAATGCCAAATAAGGGTTTGTTTAAAACCTTGAGTTCTGGTTTAATGAACTCATTTAGATCAGTTTAGCTCACTGATCTGTGCCACTGCAAGGTCTGTTTTAAGACTCAAGTCTCCTGAATTCCCCATTTATAAATCAAATCATATCATAAGAAGAGTGGAGGGGAAGAGGTGCCCAGCTGGACCTTTTGCTAGGGGCGTCAAATAGGAACAAAGTCCTATCCCTTTCTCAGACTGTGCTCCAGCTAGAGAAGGCAGGCAGAAGAAAAGCTGATCCTTTTTTCCCACTGCTTGGCTCCAGCAGGCCTCAGTGGTCCAGCAAGCTATTTTGGATCTTACCAGGGAGCCCTGTATGGGGACTACAGACAGAGAGAGAAAATTTGGGGGCCTACAGGAGTCCAACCCAGGCCTATGTCTAATAACAAAGACGTGTCCCAGGCCAGTATAGCGCTCATACTGATGACGCCGTTTGTCATCCAGGTGATGACTTGTGGGCAAGAACATGCCCTTAGATTGATACCATTTGTAAACCTTAACACATCCTGCTACAATGCTGAAAACATTAGAAGCTATGAAATTAACCATCTTTAGACCTATACGTTGTATTTATGTACACACAACGGTAATGCTTAAATTAGTGAACAAATGACTTACTTAAAACATGAAGCTGGATGGGATTTATACTGTCAGGAAGGAACCTCGTCAGCTTTCAGTGTGAACTGTATGAGAGTGCCTGCAAAGTGGGGTTGCATCCATTTCTGCGATGGGCAAGTAATGGTTTGGAATAAAATACATGGAGGTTAATGGCATGCTTGTTTCCTTCTAATTCAAGCTGGAGAGAAGTGAGATTGTGGCATGGGTGACCCTATGTTAAATAGATTGGCACTGACTGGATATAACCAAGGCATCTGTGGCCCAGTCTCTGGCAATGTGAAATGTTTTCTTTCAGATATGCTGTTAAATAATCACTTGGAAACTATGAGTTAGCACATTTGTTTTATGTTACTACGTTTTGAATATAAATGATGTAATTTAGACTGGAGAAAAATGTGCAAGAGGATACTTATAGTTCTTCTGAAGCTGTTTTGTTTTTCCAGATTTAATTGTAGGTGCATTTGGAGCTGGAAAAGCAGTTGTTTACAGGTATGTGGCAAATATAATGGAATTTATATTTCACAGCTTCAGTGGAAGATCTACAAATAAAACTAATTTCACATATCTGTGTTACTCTGGTGCAATGTGTAAAAGATGGTAATTATGGATAATAAATAAGCATATTTTAAACAACAAATGCTGTTGCTTTATTAGTTTGTTTTTTTCACATGCTCAGAGCTTCCCATTTTTAATGAAACCTTCCATGCTTATTCTTAGCTCAAGAAACTTTTTTTGGAAAGTAGGAGTCTCAGTGAATTTTAAATTAGACAAGAAGGGAAAAGGGCACCTTTTCTGTCTTTAAAGCAAGCCCGCCATTCCTGTATAACCAAAAAGATCTCACCGCAGCACATAAGAGAAAAATTCAAAAAGCACAATACTGAAAATTCATTTCTTTCTAGGGGCAATGGTACTAGTAAGAATTTTAGATTTTTCAAGGGATTGATTTTTTGGAGCTCGTTTACATTGAGGTGGGAACTATTAGAAACAAAGATTGCTACTTCTAGCTTCAGTTTAGCAAAACTATGAGATCCTGTTAAGTAAATCTCCATAGTTGTTGCTGACTACTGCAGTTTTCACTAAATGCACAGTTTGATTAGTGATATAAATTATGACTATCAAATGCATAAACTAAAATCTGCTGCTGCCGCTGCTGCCCTATTAGTCCAGCCATGCAAACATGTAAATTTTCAACTAAATATTCACCATTGCTTCAACATTGTACTCATATTTTCTGATTGCTATCTCCTCATTGTCTGTATTCCCAACAGTACCTATCTGAGAGAAGGCGTGTTCTAATTCCCAACTGAACATTTGTCAAAACGTAAGAATTAGGTAAAACAGGAACGGTAGCTCATTTTAGCTAGTTCTGTAGATACAGTGGGTAGACCCGATTTTCCTACTGCCCTATGGAAGAAACATGCAAATACTTTGCAAATGAATCACTTTGCAGCGGCATTAATGACTGCCCAGGATGTGAAACATTAGAGAACTAGATCCCATGTATTTTAGATAGCAATAAAAGATGTGCTTTATTTAATTTAAGTAAGTGAATAGCAAGAGGCCCTCAGCCTTTCCATTTCCTGGCCAGAGTGTATCATCAAATGTGCAACTTGTCATACTGGAGAAGCAGAGTTTTATTAAGTGAAATTTTCTAGAAAAATTTTTTTCCTTGTTGTACAAAAATGAAGAAAGTAATTTTATTTTCCAGTCTTGTTGGAATGATAAATAAACGTAATCATACAAGATCAACTGTTGATTAAACTATGAGGAAAATAAATAACTTTGCGATAAGCCAGTTTTGCAAGAATTATGTAAGTTACTGTAAAATAGTATGATTGTGCTAAAAAACAGAATTTAGACCCTATCTTGTTTTCCTTTCTCTTTTAATCTGCTCTCAGTTATAGCTCTTTACTTAATAACACGTTGTTATTGATAGGGATGTTTCACATTGGTATTCACATGCCCAATGGAATTTTATGTGATAGTTGTTCCTAGTTTACAAAGTCAGTTGGCTCAAAAGCTGTCAGATATGGTTTACCCTATTAGTGGTTCAGGATGTTCCAGACCAAATTCTATTTTAACAAAATTATCTTCATCTTTTGAAGAATCTTAAACAGAGGTAACAAATCTGAAAATGTCACTGTTCATGGAAAAAAGAAGAATCTGACAGTTTGTAAAATAATTACTCAGGAACTGCTATAATTCCCAAAAGTCAGGCTCTGCCCACTTGTGAAAATCCAATGTAATGGGATGTGTCTGGTGTGCCTGAGCTCCAGAGCACACTTACTTAAGTGCAGGATACTGTTTCATTGATGCTGTCTGCTGTTATCCTGTGATTTTTGTGAAGAAGTTTCAAAATATCAGAGTAGGATGGATCATAATTTCTGATAAAAAAGTATCCTTTTGGGTAGGAGCAGCAGTTAAAGTATTTTCTCCCAAGTAACTCTACATTTCCAGCTTCTCTGCGGCCATCTATTGTATGTGTTTTCTCTGCTGCAACTTAGCTACTAATGTGATCCTGCTGTACCTAGTGAACCTTATTTCTGTCCCTCAGAGCCAGGCCTGTTGTGACAGTGAATGCGCTACTGATTCTGAACCCCATGATTGTGAATCCAGACAATAAAACTTGTCAGCTCCCTGGCTCTCAGCTTTTGGTGGCCTGGTAAGTTCGTGATTAGACAAAAACATTGTCATCTTTCTCAAATAACTTCCTATTCCTAACTTCTTTTGCAGCTTTTTTGTTGAACCTCCAAGTATTCTAACATGCTATGAGTCCAACAAAAGAAATTATATAGAACAGAATTCTTTTTGATACCTTCCACTACCTCACAACTCCTCAAAATGAAGTAGCTGAAAGTTTGGTCCTGTGGTACGCTGAGTACCATTGTCTTCATCTGCATATGAGGATGCTCAGCATCTCATAGGATCAAGTGGCAAATTCACGTGAAGTATTCAGATGTCTAAATCGTAAAAGAGCTAAGACAAACAAAACACAGAAACATAGATGTGTCAAAACACACATCTTTTGGGGAAAATGTCACTAAAAGCGATACTAAGAGCAGATGGTTCCACCACTTTCTGTTCAGCAGAGAGATCTCAGTCCCTCATGGAAGAGAGAAGATGTATCACCTTTTCCTGCTACCCATCCAGAGAGCAGTTCACAGGATGTTGTACCTGGCTCTCATTGGTCAGAGTAAAGCTTTTTTAAAGTGTCCTATAGAACAATATCGCATACATCCTTAAAAGAGAAACTCTCCACCACAGTAATATTTAACTTTGAAAAGAAAGTACAATCAAAAATTTGAAGCTAATTAAAACAATTTAAAATCAGCTAAAAAGGACAAAATGCTTGTAGAACATTTGGAAGCTATTTAAAAACATATAATACCACATAAAATCACCTCTACCACATTAAAAAAGTTACTTAGCAAGGACCCCAAGAACAACTGATAAAAGAGATTATTAGAAATATGTAAGATACTATTTAACAAATGGAAGTCACTACAAATGAGGAAGTTAAAAACAAAACAGAGCATAAATGCTTGCAGGCTGAATGTAAAATACCAGTAAGTCTGAGAAGAACAGATTTCTAAGACATACAAACTATTCATATCATTTTATTTAAACGTATCAGAGCCAGAATGTCTACCAGAATGTGGGATGCATGAAAAGATTAGCGAGGTGTAACGGAGAACTCCAGGAGATACAGCAACTGCACAGTTATTGCACTGCCTTTAAACCAGAGGTGGTCAGAGGGTTTCCCCACAGTGAAGGTATTCTTTATGGGAGATTATGAGTCTGAGAAATCATCTCAAAAGGAAAAAGTCAGAAAAAGAGGTTTGAGAACAAACTGATAAATATGAACAATAAAAAATCATCATGACTAGAAGAAATTCATCTGAGAGTCATAAAGGAACTCAACTGTCATGTCATTAAACCACTAAATACATAGACTATAAGATGCAATTGATGCAATATGGGACTCAGGAAGTTCCTGCACCTGCTGATTGATTAACAAAATTTGGGAGAGGGTTGCCAGGAGACTTTCAGTTTTGCCCTTTTATTTTACTCTTTACCTGACTGCTCATTTTTTAATATTGCATTCCTCATTTCTACTTCCTCTGTAAATAGTTGCCCATCTACAGAGTAATAGAGAATGCTTTTGGTAGAAATACGCAGTCTCAGAACATTTCTATTTAATTAAAATGGTTTTAGTGAATATTATTTCAAAGTTCATCCTGAATTAATCCATATATATTCAGTGTCCCATGAGCTAGTCTAGGCAAACAACCTTCTACCAGAACATGGAGACAGGAAAATGGAGCTGGTTGGTTGACAATTTTCCATTGATTTGTTTCTATTGGAAAACACCAATTTTCTAAAAGCAAAACATTTAACAGAAACATATCATCTTCCACAAAAATGATTTTATAAGGAGGAACTAAAAACCGGTGTTTAAAAACCTTAGAACATCCTTATTTTTTGTTTCAAGCACCTTCTGTTTTAATATTTTATGCAATACATATTTTAAAATATCCAGATTGGGCTCAAGCAGTTTCATTGATCCAAATGATGTTTTTTTCAGAACTTCAGTTTTTTAGAATTTTTAAGAATAATTTATTTTGTAATGGAATTCAAAATCATAATGTTTACTGGCAGTTTAGGGGACGAAAAAGGGTGTTTTTCTACACTGGAGAAATACATAAGCACACTTCTGTTAAAAAA